CACACGGAAAAAAAAAAAAAAAAAAGACCTGAAAAAGTTGTCAGTTGTTTTGGTCTAAAGGTGAAAAGGAAATAAAAAGGACATGGATGTGTAACACCAAAAAATGCCAATAGGTACAGGCAACGGCTACCTTTCAAATAACAACACTGTATGACGCCGCCATGAACAAACAACAACAAAAAATGGAGTAACAATGCCCCCCCAAGTCCATATTTGTAATTCCATACTTAAACATCTGTCAAAAAATAAGCTTTTAAATGGGGAACACAGGTCATTTGACAAAGTGAAAGCGGAACAGGAAGAGAGTGAACTGATGGAGCAGTGCATGATGGTTAAGAGCATGAGAACCCCGGTGACCTCTAAAGCCCAATGGAATGAAGGAAGTACACAAGAACTCTGACGGTGATGTGCTCTCTGCTCATCCCATGTCTTTAGAGTGCAAAGATACCCTTATTTGATGTGTTGTGTGATGCACACACACACACACACACACATATATACATATATAGATAAGTAAATATATGTATATATGCATGTATGTCTAGCTTTGATGTGTCCGTAACTAAAACTCGGAGAACTCCTTTGAGCATTTTTCTGTAACAGATACACGAATGTCTTCCTCTTCATAGTCATCAAAGTTGCTTGTGTCTCCAGGACCTCGGCACTTTGGTATGAACGGCGCCTCCACCTGGTGGGTGATGGGAGAAACTGATGTAATCAAAAACAAACTTAAAACCTCTCTTCCTGCAACTAAGGCTGGGCGATTTTTCAGATTTGATGAAGTTTTGTTTTGTTTTTTTAAATTAAGGAATTACGATTTTGAGTAATAGCAAACAAATAGTAGTTTGGAGAAAAAAAATGATCCGGCCACGACGGCGCTCATGATTAAACGTGTGCGCTATGAAGCGATATGATCACATTGCTAGGTGTTATTCACACAGAATGCACTTTTGCGTTGACAAAGACCATTGCAATGGGGGGAAAAAAGCAAGGAGACAGTTGTCGTCTTTTAACTTGAGCAGCATCTCATCCTCGAGATGCAAACACGTCCTTCAAACTCATGTTTACATAAAAACAATGAAAAGAGCAGGAACCTATAGAGAGCTACTACTGTTTGCCATTTCATGTTTGCATAATGGTGACAGGCTGAAAGATGATGCAATTTTCTTTGTTTTTAAATATCCTGCTGCTTGTGTTATACTTTTGCCTTGACTTTTTGAGTTGACCTCTTAAACCGAATGTCTACATTTTCGGCTAGGGAACATTCAGCATTTTCCTTATTTTAAATTATTTCTGAACATACAGGATGTGTTTAAGACAAGTTTGTACAATATTTGCCTTCAAATTTCATATTTCTGAAAAGATACTCAAGTGAATTTGTTTTATTTGTACACCGTGTGGAGCACTTCAACTCTCTTTTACAAGCTTTTAATAAAGACAATGCGACTTTAATCAATGTTGTAGTTGCTTTCTTAAACGGTTACATTTTTTTTGGCATACTGCCCAGCCACCGGTTCATAAAGATAAAAACTACAGTACTTCCAAGTACTTTAAGCACAATTTTTGGGATTTCAAGGACTACAATTGCATGTCTTTAAAATTTTTACTTCAAAATTCAAATAAATGAAAAAAAAAAAAAAAAAATGAAAAAGATTAAAAAGTTACTGTTTTTTTTTGCTTACAATAAATACGTTACTAAAATTGTAGATACCAGATACAAAAACTCTAACATTTTTGAAGTTGTTTGATTAACATTAATGACACAACAGCAGCAGGTATATTAGGCTGCTGTCACTTTAAGATGTAATAGACAGATAAATTGGAAGAAAAAAACCCCACTTAATATGGTGGATGTGGGAAAGGAAATCCTGCATCTCCGGTATTAGGCTCAGACTGCGTAACTGAAGACTGAGCATCATACCTTTCTCTCATAGATGGCTATCCAATCCGTTGTGGCAAACCATTTGTGGTTTTTGATATCATTGACACCATTCCTCAGGTTGCCGTATCGCTTGGTCAGGTCCACCTGCAGCAGATTCCTCAAAAGATCTTTCAGATCCGAACTGAAGTGCGAGGGGAATCGTACCTACAAAACACGTTCAAGATGCCATTTTGATTGTGCATTCACTGCTTATCCAAATTAATCTAATTGCTTGACTGTACACGTATACATGCAACTTGCTAGTACCTTTCCAGACACAATTTTCTCATAGATCTGAATAGGCTGGTCTGCAAAAAATGGGGGATATCCAGCTGCCATCTCATATATGAGAACACCAAGGGCCCACCAGTCCACAGCCTTGTTGTATCCCTAAATTTGAGAAACAAATAAGTGCTTTGCCCTGCTTGTAAATTTGGATTTAAAGCTGGATGTAACGCTGGATTACCTTGCTGAGGATGATCTCTGGTGCCAAGTACTCTGGAGTTCCACATAAAGTCCAAGTTCTGCCTTTTACTCTTTTTGCAAAACCAAAGTCTGTTACCTGAAAATGACAGTTTTATTTTAAAAAAAAATTCATAAAAATGTTACTGAGCAACTGACGAGTAATACTGTTTCAGTGCAGATTTTGGACTTTGAACCCTGGCTAACAAGCAGATAGCGCCGCGAGCTCGTGCAGCGCTGTTTGAATACATGCAATTTGTGCGTGTATTAGAAAATATAACGTTCTGCAGTTTATTTAATTGCTTAAGGCCATTTCGTGATTTCAATCATCATACAGTAACCAGCAATAAACACCCCTTCCTCTTCTCATCGAAGACATGCGATGCAGTGCTAAACAGTCTCTCGCTGTCGGTGCTTGTAGTAATTTTTGCATCTTTCTCGGACAGTTTTAAATGCTTCCACACTACCGACATGTTTGCTGCATTACTGCGCGCCTTTATTTGATCACGTCACGTCATTGTTCGGTACAATTTATTCAGTCTTTTCGCTTATTTGGCCGAACACCGAAAGAGTTTTTTTATTTTTATTATTATTAATGTAGAATGCGTTGGAGGATTAAATGTTTGTTCAGAGCATTTTACCGCTGATTGTTAGCCTTAAATAAGTACTAAAACAGAACGTTTTTAATGGAAACTCAGAAAATGAGATATAAATAAGCATATTACAAAATAAAAAAGGCATTCCTTCAAGTAGCCATTCACTTTAAAGATTTTTGCACTTGATTTTTGATTTTTTTTTTGCACTTGAGAACCCTTTTTTTTTTTTTTTTTTTTTAGGAGTGAGCATCCAACAATGATCACTAAAAACACAACAGACAATCCTGAAAGAAGCACAAAAGAACCCACGGATAACAGCAAAAGACTTCCAGACCTCCACTCTACAAATTGTAAAAGTCCTTGTCCATGTGTCCACTATTGAGGGTTCGTACACATTTTTACCAATAAATTTCCATCACTTCTCCATGACTTTTGAGACAATATTCATGACCTAATGTTCCATTATTTTACAATAAGAATAAAAATCTGTTCAACTTATAGCATGTTAACTAAAATTAATGGCTATTAATGCAAATTTTTTGCTTTAGGCCATATTTCTTTTTTAGTAATAAGTACAAGCTGCAACTGCGCCAGACGTTACTCCACATAGAGAACATATCACATCACTGAATATTATCATTTATTTTACTTTCTGAATCTGAATTTTGTTTTGGAAACTGTTCTCTTTCGCAACTATTTACATTAACTTAAAACAAAACCGACAGTGCTTACGACGGCCCCCAACTTATTTACGGCTTCGGGACAATTTTCAAGTCATAACTCAGACGCGGGCCGGGCATCGGGCTTGTTTTAGGCTTCCTCCTTATAGTTTAGATATCCATCAATTATTATGGTGATGAATAGGACTTGCCACGCTGGTGGAAACAACACGAGACCATGCTACCGCGACTGTCAAGAGCGGCTCTGGCGGGGTTTAGTGTCCAGCAGCAGCGAGCGCAGGTGGCTTCAGCGCTGCTGGAAGAATTCCGCATTAAAGCGCACGCAATAGAAGAATTTTTGTTTTCGATTTGAATTATTTCGTTTTAAAGTAGTAATTAAAAGTAGTAATTTGAGTTTCAGTTCATTTTTGTGAAGCGCTTCTGTTCAGAGAGACAGAGACGGCAGAAAGCACATCCTGTTTTGTTTTCTAAAAAAAGCAATGTTTGCTGATATTGTGAGTGCACAAATAAAAGTAGACCCTTTGCGGTTCCAAATGATATATTACTCTTACCTTTATGAGCAAAAATGATGGCGTATTTTAAGTTGTTTCCACTGTTATACGGAAAAAAAATGCAAGTGATCGCGCTGGCGCCTTCATGTCCTGCAGAGCACGCTTTAGCTTCCACTCTCCGTAGACACGATTGGATATGCGCCTAACAGCGCACTTTTATCTGGTTAAATGTATAAATTGTGAAATGCTTGTATTTTATATCTATAGATTTTATTTTAGGCAAGTCGTGATGATTTGAGAAGGCTAAATTGATCAAACATAGCCTTGTTGGCTATTGCTACAAATATACCCCAGCGACTTAAGACTGCTTTTATGGTTCAGGGTCACATATATTCAAATCACTGTCTACCGCTGGCCGCTTGGTCACTACTTTAAAAAACAAAAACTTGAATTTAACAAACAAAAAAATATTCCAAACATATTGTTTAATTAACTTAAGAAACATAAAAAAATTAATATAACCACTTTGTCATTAAAAACCAAAACTGAACTAGGCTATTTTAATGGCTGCAACAGCAGCTGTGTAATGGATAAGAGAGAAAGAGAAAAAAAGACACGGGCTCCAGTCGGACTCAGGCCGAGAATTCTGATAATCTGTCGGACAAGGGCCGGGCTAGGGCCTAAATTTGAGGCCCATGTTTGGTACCAAACTCAATTTGGTACTCGCAAGGCGGCTTTATACGCACGCGCGCGCTTTGGATGTGGCTCAATGCCTCTGGAGCGCGCGAGTACCAAATGGCTTAAAAACACGTCCAAATAATACATTTTTGTGATGATGCAACAATGACCCGATTATGCAAGTGACAATTCTATCAACTGTAGGCTACCGAAACACGAGCGAAAGTCTTGTATGGCAGCGTGCAGCAGCTCTTGTAGCACAGACAAGATGCGCCGATGTGAAGTCGTTTGAAGAGAAAGTCAAAGAGAGAGGACGCGGTGCAGCTGAAGCACTGTTTTCAAATGACTGATTTGATCTGATAGTCCGTGTGGATTCATTTACTCATCTAACCTACATGCTATGTTGAATGAATGTGTGAATTTCCCTCATTTTAAAGTCGAATGAGTAAAACTATGCAGCCCAACTCGAAACTCAGGACCTGATTAAACATAATTCTATTACACAGAGATGTGTGAAATAGATTTCCATGACTTTTCCAAAACTTTCTGGGTTTATTTATTTCTCCAAAACTTTTCCAGGCTTGGAAACTGCTGTTTTAAAACTCCATGACTTTTCCAGGTTTTTCATGACCGTACGAACCCTGACTATTGGTAAAGCCGTTGAAGGGAACAATGGATTCAACATTACATCAAGGCATTTTATAGCAGAATGTCAGTACAGCGGTTTATGATTTGAAGTTTGTGGAGAGGGATGGTCTAAAATGGGTCAAAAGTCTTATAAGCAGCTACAGAAAAATCACTCTGCTTAAAGGAGGATCTAAAAGTTACTATTCCCTTCTTTCTCCACCCTGCACCGTGAAAGATAGGGATGCACTGAATATTCGGCAACTGAAATTATTCGGCCAGAAATAGCAAAAAAAAAATTTCGGTGTTCGGCCGAATACACGAAAAGGGCGAATAATATGAACCGAACAATGACGAACGCGATCAAATAGAGGCACACGCTAATGCAGCAAACATGTCGACAGTGTGAAAGTATTTAAAACTATCAGAGAAAGACGCAGAAATCATTACAAGCGTGAAGCACTGACAGCGAGAGACTAGTGCTGCATCAAGTCTCCGATGAGAAGAAGAGGTGGCTAATGCTGGTGGTTAGGTTACTGTATGATGATTGAAATCGCGAAATTACCTCAAACGATTAGTAAATAAATTGCAAAATGTTATATTTTCTAATGCACGCATGAATTGCATGTATTCTGACAGCGCTGCACGAGCTTGTGGTGCCAGGGTTGTTCAAAGCGCGAGGAAAATCTGTGCTGAAACTGTTACTCGTCAGTTGCTCAGTAACATTTTTGTGAATTTTTTTAAAGGCATGTGACAATGTGATACGTGCGAAAAACATCTTCCCAAATTCGTAATGAGAATCATTTATAAATCTGCATGCTGTTGTCAACAAAAAGAAGCACTGAG